CACCAGTCGTCGTCCTCCTTCTTGCCGTTCCCTACCTCGTGGCGGCCGCAATCCAGGATCACGCCTGGGCGACGTCGACCGAGGGAGCAGCGCGCCGGGCAGCCGACGGCCCAGGGCGAGAGTCCACAGGACCGAGAGATGGTCTGGCCGCGGACTGCTCGCGCCCCGGAGGTCTGGCCGCCCCCGGAGCGCCGTTCCCCCGCCCCGTCGCCTTCGCGCAAGGTGCGCCCCTGGCACGCCACCGTGGTGATGACCCTGCCGTGCGAGAAATGCGGGGGGGGTGCCGAAATGGGTGGGGGTGACGCATGCGGGCGGCGGGCACTGGGGCCTTCGGTGGAGCTCCCTATGGAGCCACGAAACGTGTGAGGGGTGTGCCGAAATGGGTGTGGGGGACGCATGCGGCCGCGGGCACTGGGGCCTTCGGTGGAGCTCCCTATGGAGCCACGAAACGTGTGAGGGGTGTGCCGAAATGGGTGTGGGGGACGCATGCGGCCGCGGGCACTGGGGCCTTCGGTGGAGCTCCCTATGGAGCCACGAAACGTGTGAGGGGTGTGCCGAAATGGGTGTGGGGGACGCATGCGGCCGCGGGCACTGGGGCCTTCGGTGGAGCTCCCTATGGAGCCACGAAACGTGTGAGGGGTGTGCCGAAATGGGTGTGGGGGACGCATGCGGCCGCGGGCACTGGGGCCTTCGGTGGAGCTCCCTATGGAGCCACGAAACGTGTGAGGGGTGTGCCGAAATGGGTGTGGGGGACGCATGCGGCCGCGGGCACTGGGGCCTTCGGTGGAGCTCCCTATGGAGCCACGAAACGTGTGAGGGGTGTGCCGAAATGGGTGTGGGGGACGCATGCGGCCGCGGGCACTGGGGCCTTCGGTGGAGCTCCCTATGGAGCCACGAAACGTGTGAGGGGTGTGCCGAAATGGGTGTGGGGGACGCATGCGGCCGCGGGCACTGGGGCCTTCGGTGGAGCGGCACTGGGGCCTTCGGTGGAGCTCCCTATGGAGCCACGAAGCGTGTGAGGGGTGTGCCGAAATGGGTGTGGGGGACGCATGCGGCCGCGGGCACTGGGGCCTTCGGTGGAGCTCCCTATGGAGCCACGAAACGTGTGAGGGGTGTGCCGAAATGGGTGTGGGGGACGCATGCGGCCGCGGGCACTGGGGCCTTCGGTGGAGCTCCCTATGGAGCCACGAAACGTGTGAGGGGTGTGCCGAAATGGGTGTGGGGGACGCATGCGGCCGCGGGCACTGGGGCCTTCGGTGGAGCTCCCTATGGAGCCACGAAACGTGTGAGGGGTGTGCCGAAATGGGTGTGGGGGACGCATGCGGCCGCGGGCACTGGGGCCTTCGGTGGAGCTCCCTATGGAGCCACGAAACGTGTGAGGGGTGTGCCGAAATGGGTGTTGATGATGATGATGATGATGATGATGATGATGATGATGATGATGATGATGATGATGATGATGATGATGATGATGATGATGGGAGGGGGGAGGAGGCAGCGGGAGGAAGGAAGGAAGGAAGGAAGGAAGGAAGGAAGGAGAACGCGGGGCACCGTCTCTTCAAAACGAGGACCCAACACCACAGGATGGTTGGGAAAAAATCCCACATTTTCGGGTGAATCGTCAATGAATTGTGCCTGTGTGTTTTTTGCCCCCTCTGCACTGGAGCGCCTAGCCGTGGCCCCCGGCAGGAGACCCTTGCTGGGCGCAGGAGACCCTTGTCGGGCGCCTAGGCCATCGCCGCCGTCGCCGTCGTGGCCGTCGTAGACGTCGTGGCCGTCGTGGACGTCGTGGCCGTCGCGATCGTCGCCGTCGCCGTCGCCGTCGCCGTCGCCGTCGCCGCCGCCGCCGTCGTCGCACTGGAGCGCCTAGCCGTGGCCCCCGGCAGGAGACCCTTGCTGGGCGCAGGAGACCCTTGTCGGGCGCCTAGGCCATCGCCGCCGTCGCCGTCGTGGCCGTCGTAGACGTCGTGGCCGTCGTGGACGTCGTGGCCGTCGCGATCGTCGCCGTCGCCGTCGCCGTCGCCGTCGCCGTCGCCGCCGCCGCCGTCGTCGTCGTCGTCGCCGTCGTCGTCTTGATCGACGGTCGCCGTCGTCGTCGTCGTCGTCGTCGTCTTGATTGCCGGTCGTCGTCGTCGTCGTCGTCGTCGTCGTCGCCGTCCTTTCCGCCGCTGCGGCCATGGACGCGCTCGTCGTCGGAGTGTGGCCGTCTCGCTCGATTCGTCGTCCTCGATCTTCCTTCTTCTCTCTCCCTCCCTTCCTCGCTCCCCCTCGCCCGTTTTATCTCATGAATACTCCAGCCTGTGAGGCGCGTTCGGGCGCACCGACCCGACGCTTGCGAGAGGGTTCAACAATGGCGGGGGAGAAGCTCCTCTGAGGCCCCCCTGCAAAAAAAAAACGTCCAAAAATATCAGCTTTCGAACCTCCGCCCCGGAACTTCCTCTCCCGCTACCTCCCGTGGGGCCCCTGGCAATCCCGAGCCCCTAGGGGAAGCCGCTTCGCCCTGGGCTGCTCTTGTTGACAGTCCCTGGGGCCTCAACCCGGCAGAATATGGCCCCAGTACAGCCCCAAAAGGCACCCAACAGGGGCTCCAGATCGAGGGGAAACGCGAATCACCATTTTAGGCCGTCCGCCTCAAGATGACCCCCGAAAACCCCCAAGAAGCCCCAAGACGCCCCAAATTGCCCCCAAAAGGCTGCATCGTCGGCAGCTCACGGCGTCGGCAGCCTGACCATCCGAAGCTCCTGCAGAGGTCCCTGGAGGTTTCCGCCCTGCAACCCGTGGAAGCCCAAAACAGGACCATCATACATCGAAAAGTCCCGCAAACTCGCCCAAATCAGCGGGGGCCAATGACCTAAATAGGGCCGGCCCGTTAGTTTTTCGTTCTGGGGACCTTCCTGGAGCCACTCGCTACACCCATGGGCCGGTGCTGCGTCGAACGTAATCGAACTTGAGTCGAGCTGCAGTCGGACTAAATTCGAAGTGGGGTCGAGCATATACATCAAGTGGGCCCCGGGAAGGCAAGTCCCACAAAACGAACATCAAACGAGCGTGTCCCCGAACGAGATCGAGCCCTGCTTCCGAATGCGCTCGACAAAATGTGTACTGGAAGCCAAATCCGCCACCGTGCCCCGAGGCATGCAGTGGAGTGTCCCCAGGTGAGGGTGAAACAGAGGTGGGCGTGCTTAGCCCGTGGCCTTGCCTCTGTCGGCGTGCCAGTGGCACGAAGCCCGTGGAGTGTCCCCAGGTCCCTTCGAGCCCTCCGTGTTCAATCTTTGAATACTCTTGAACGGACACGCAGCCCCGAATTCCGGGCGCTCCCGGGCGTTCCCGGGACTTCCGCGTGACTTTTCCTGGAGCACGAAGGCCCCCAAACGGGCCAACAGGGCCTCAATGGAGCTCCAAGGATGGTACCAAGAAAAATCTCGCGACGGTCCGACATCTCTCCAGTGCGCCCAACACGGCCCCGAGACGGCAGGACCGGCCTCTCAGACGCCACCGAAGGGCTCCGCGATGCGCCCCAAGAGGGGCTCAAGACGACGCAATAGGCCCACAAGAACGCCCCAAAAGGCTCACCAAACGCCCGCATGACGGCCCGAGAGCGGCTCAAGCCGGCCCATGAGGCCCCCCAAACGGCCCCAAGAAGTACCAAACAGGGGGGCTCCAGAAGGGGAGCGCGACTCGACATGTTGAGCCGTCCGCCTCAAGACGACCCCCGAGAGGCCCCCAAGAGGCCCGAAAGAGGCCCCCAAACCGCCCCCAGTATGCTTCCGAGAGGCGCCCTAACAGATCCCCACGAGCATCCGAGAAAACACCGACCTGCACCCCAGGCGCGCTGGCGGGGAGGCCGGAGGACGCTGGACCCGCCGCCCCACATGGCTTGCCACACGCGCGCAGGGTGTGCCAGTGCTTGCGTCGTCTTGCTGTTGCACGAGGCAGGCGCACACCCACGTGCAAATCATCGCTGGACCACCTCGCGGAGCGGTCGCACCAGAGAGGCGGGCGGCGTGGCAGCCGACGCTCTCGATGCACGATGCACATGCGCGGCTTCGGCCCAGGCCGTCGCCGGGGCCCGCTGAGATCCGCCCGGCGTCGCCCCGATGCCTTCCGCCAATAGTTTTTCGTTCCGGATCCGTTTGAGATGGCCGGGGCCCCAAGGCAGGTCTGGAGGCCGCATCGCCGAACGCGGGCGCGACACGGCCCAGCGCGGTGACGCGAAACCCTCGGACACAGCTCGGCGCGGCCACCGCAATGTGCCCGAAAGGTTGCCGATGATGCCCTGCACTTGCAGCTGAACGTTGCGCAACGCAGAAGCCTTTTTGATGGCGGCCCTTCTGTCGTCGCCCACGCGGCTTTCGTTCAACCACGCATACTGCAGGCTGGTTACAGCCATGCGCGGCAGAAGAAATCTGAGCAGGGTTGTAAGAACATTCGTATTCTTTGTCAAGGGCCTTGCTCGCCATTCCCTCCTTCATCTCGTCGTGTCTGGAAGAACATTTGTAAGAGGATTGCACCGTGAGCTGATATACATTCTCAATACGCACGCACATCTTCAGCGTCGGCGCCCGCGACGCTGTCCGCCAATTAGTTTGCCATTATTGTTCGCCGTGCTGGATACTGTTGGGGGGTCGCCCTCTGGGCGAGAAATGCTCCCTGGGCGAAAGTGACGGAGGACGCCGAGCTGGCTGGTCCGCGCCTCCCCACCGCTGGCTCCGCCGCCGTTTTGAGCTTCAAGGGCTCTTGGGAAGCGACGACGACGGCGACGACGATGACGACGACGGCAGCGGCGGCGGCGGCGACGAACCACGGCGACACCGACGGCGTGGCCGACGACGACGACGACGAAGCGGGCGACGACGACGACGATGACATGGACGAGGACGAGGATGACAGGCACGCCGACGACGGCGACGACGACGACGGCGTGGACGACAACGTGGACGCCGACGGCGACGAGACGGACGTGGACGCCAACGGCGCGGAAGACGCCACTGCTGGGGCTCCTCGGGCGCGCCCCACGCGGCGGGTGCGCCCCCGTACCGTGAGCGCAGCGGCCCGGCGGGAGACGCCTCAGCGCCGAGACGCCGCAGCAGCCTCGGCGGCCGTCGACGTCGACGTCGTCGACGTCGTCACTGTCGCCCGCGTCTTCGCCGTCATCGTCGTCATCGTTGACGTCGGCGTCGGCGGCGGCGTCGTCGTCGACGTCTAACGCCGTCGCTGTTGTCATTCATGTCGTCGTCGTCGTCGTCGGCGTCGGCGTCGGCATCGGCGTTGTCGTGGTCGTCGTCGTCGTCGTCGTCGACGTCTTAACGTCGTCGCCGTCGTCATTCACATCGTCGTCGTCGTCGTCGTGGTCGGCGGCGTTCCTGTCATCCTCGTCCTCGTCCATGTCATCGTCGTTGCCGCCGTCGTCGCCGTCGAGGGATAGATTTTGACGCGCGGCGTTTGCTTTCGGGCCGCCATGGAGGGCACTCCCGTGGCCACAGCCGGGTTCCCCTCGAAACCCTGGTCCGAGCGTGTGCAAGGGAAGGGCCAGGGGTCAACCTCGTCGCCATCGTCGCGGGATGCTCTCGATATTCTGTTCGCTGGGCTTCCGAAGGGTTTGCCTTGGTTCCCCAAAAGCTGTCGAATGCCTCGCGGCCCAAGACCAGAAAACGCCCGAGAGACTCGAGAAGAGGCCCAAAGAGAGGTCCACGGAGGGGCCCACAGACAGGCTGCAGGCGTTCGTCATCATTCGAGGGGACATTTACGACTATTCGTGGTCGTCAGTTGTTCGCCTCCCTAGGCTGTTTAGCCTGAGGTGGCTCCACCTTGGATCAGGGGGCGAAGTCGGCCGATTCTGGCCGACTTGCTCTCCGCCCTTAGAGGAGGGAAACCCAACGCTGATACACGAGATTCACGCGGACCTCCGAAAGTTTACGGGAGGCACGTGTCGAGACGACTCGGATGCTGGTTACTGACACCGCCTGGACCGCGGCTGCTCGATTGCGCGGATCGCTCGATATCGGCCGACTCCAGGCTACTGGCGACCGGCGTTCAACCACGAACGCCCGCGTTGGAGTCGCCGCAGCGTCGACACGACACGAACCTGCCGTCTGCTGATGCTGATTTCTCTTCTTGTGTGTAATTGTGGAGGGAGGAGGGAGGAGGAAGGACGGGGGAGGGGGAAGGGAGGAGGAGGGAGGGAGGCGGGAGGAGGGAGGAGGGAGGCGGGAGGAGGGGGGAGGGAGAGGGAGGAGGGAGGAGGGGGAGGAAAGGAGGAGGAGGAGAGGGAGGAGGGAGGAGGGAGGAGGAGGGAGGAGGGAGGTGCGAAGGATGAGGGGGAGGGAGAAGGGAGCAGGGAGGAGGGAGGACGGGGGGAGGGAGGAGGGGAGAGGGGGGAGGGGCAAGCTAGGTGCGCTCGCGTCATATCTGACATCCTACCCCTCCCTCCCATCCATTACCATGGCGTAGATCCCCTCTCTACTCGCACAGTCGGATGTCGAGCAGGGCAATGATCCCGAAAGGGTACGCGATGCATTGTAGAGCACGGCAGGGCATGGCGTAGAAAAGCACCGCAAAGCGTAGTATCAACCTAGCATTGCATTGCATGCCGTGGCATGGCACGGGAAATGACGCCAGCGCTGCAGCGGGAGCATGAGCCGAAACGAGCGGAAGCGCGGAAATGAGGCCAGCGCTGCAGCGGGAGCACGACTCGGAACGAGCGGGGCCCGAAAATGAGGCCGGCGCCTCAGTGAGAGCAGCATTTTGAAAAAAAATACAAGCGAAAATCCAACTCCAGGGAAACCTGTGTAAAAAAACAGTGCGCGGGGGGGGGGGGTCGGACACTTTCAGGCCGTCATCAGGGGAAGAGGGAGAGTAGTATTCATATTGAGTAACTGTGTATGGGGGGAGTGAGGAGGGGGGAGGGAGGAGGGAGGAGGCATGTTCTGAAGGCCGCACCGCCCTCCCTCGTGTGCTGCCAGACAAACCCTTGGCCCACGGCGCCTACAGGTTTTTCCAGGGAGGCCCCCACCGGCCTCCAGAGCACCCTGGGCGTCGCGCAGAGGGGGGTAGGAGGAGGGGGGAAGTCTTCTTAGAAGGAGGCTGCTTCGTAGAAGGCGCCAGCCTTACGTCTATAGAGAAGGGCCGCGCCTTCTAAGAAGCAGGGGGTGCTTCTAAGAAGCCTTCCCCCCCCTCTGCGCGTGGCCGACACTCCTCACGAGGCCCAGAGGGTCCCAGGGGCTCCAGCTTTGCGCGAAGAGCTCGGGGCACCTTGGCTTAGGTTGGGCATGTCATGCCCCCCTACAGGCGGATCTGGAGGGGAAATCAGAAATAGCCTACAGATATTCAAACATATTCACACACACACACAAAAAAACATAGCCCCCTCACTATTTGAATGTGCCTCGTGTAGAGGCACAGGGCCGACTTACACCTTGGCCGAGGAGCCCCCTTGGAGCAGCCCCCGAGCGGCGGGCGGCCCTCCGGACGGCCGAGGGCCCGGTGCCCCGCGGCGCGGGCCCCCCCCCCCAATGCCCACGAGCGGCGGCCGCTCGACGACGGCGGCGGCCGACCGCTCCCTCTCGAGGCCCCTTCCGCTTTGCTCCGGCGGCGCCAACAAGGGTGTAGGGGGGAGGGGGGACTTGAAGATTGAATCTGTTTGAACGATGTTTGGATATTCCTGGATAGCTTGACATCGTATGGGGACTGATTTTTAGTTTCAAAAAGGAAAACATGTGTTTGAATATCTGTGAGCTATTTCATACTTCCGCTCCAAAGTCCGACTGTATGGGGGGCATGACATGCCCGACCTAAGCCAAGGTGCCCCGAGCTCTTCGCTCAAAGCTGGATGGGCCCGTTGAGGAGTGTCGGCCACGCGCAGAGGGTGAGGGGGGGGGGGGGGAAAGGCTTCTTAGAAGCACCCCCTGCTTCTTAGAAGGCGCGGCCCTTCTCCGCAGAGGCAGGGCCGTCGCCTTCTGAGAGGCGGACTGCTTCTAAGAAGCCTTCCCCCCTCCTGCCCCCCCCCCCCCCGTACCTTGAGGTCGGGCATGTCCCCCTACAGGCGGAACTTGAGCGAGCAATAAAAAAGAAGATGCACAAAACGAATGCTCAACAAAAACCACAAAAAAAACGTCCTCATACTATTTTCGGTACTATTTTTGAATACTCCTCCTGTAAAGGGCGGGCTCGACTTAAACCCTGCCCCCTTGTGCGCGCCGCCATTCTGCAGAGCGTCCTGCCCTCCGCTGGCAGAAGCACTCCCCCGGCGGAGGGCGAGGTTCTCCGGACGGGGTGGTGACTGCTGCCCTATAGTGAACTCTACAGAAGAAACGAGGCCCCTTTCTTCCAGAAGTGACACTTCCATCTCCCATCGAAATCGAACACCTTCTAAGGACAACCCAAGGCAACCTGCGAGACAATAAAGGAACACGGAGCCCTTTCCCAACGAAAAGGGTTCATTCTTCACCGCCCCGACTGTAGCAATCGCTAGTTGTCCCGTCCGGGGAACCCCACAAGGTCGGATACCGGCGCGGGGCTCGCCTCCGTCGCGTTTGACCAGCAGGGTGACGCTCGATCCTCGAAGGGCTGACAAGCATTCCGAGGCCGATCTGGGCCGTGGACACGAGGGCGCCACCTGGAGGCCCGAGAAAGGCCCAGGGAGCCCACAGACACTGCTCCTCGAACCTGGACCCCCGACGGCGTCGACCGCCTCGATGGCGGCGACTTCTGGATGCCCCCGGAGGCACCAAACTGGAAACAAAAGAGTGGAGTCTCCTCCCTCCATCTCCTGCTCCTCGAGCGTCGATTCTCGGGCGTGCGAGCCGCAGCCTACGACGAAGCCAGGACGAGGATAAATTCGGGTGAGAAAGAAAATCTCTGAGATCCGGCGGCTCTGGAGGATATATCGGGCGCTGCGGCCTTCTCTGAGTATCGTTTAACCGACCCCCATCCTCAGCGGCGTGGCCTGGGCCCCAATGGCCGATTTCCCCCCCTAGATGAGGGTATAGGCCGTTCCTTTCCGGTTTCGAAGGGTGTATCCCCAACTGGGGTGGTCATTTTTTGGGGGTCTCGAAAGGGATTGGGATGGGGATGGGGATCGGATAAACGCTACTGATTCTCAGAGCGTTCCTGAACGCTCTGAGTGCGTTCCGGAACGCTCTAGATCGGATTTATCCTCGTCCTAGTTCCGTCCGAGTGAGGCCGCTCGGGCGTGTGAGCCGCAGCCCCCTGTTGGAGGCAACCGAGCGGGCGGATCAAAATCTGCCCGTGCACCCCTCCCGAAGTCGCCCACACGCAGGAGTGACCCTGGGCAAGAATGACCTTTGGCGTGCGGCTTGTGGGAGACTCAACGAGGACCAGACATGAGCGCGCAAGACGCTCCTACCGCATCGCGCTCGGCGATTGGGGGACCCGATTGGGCCCGTAGCAAAGGTCACTCTGGCGAAAGGTCACGCTTACGTCTAGTCGACGAAGTCCCTCCTGCACTGTTATCTGGAGCTGGCCTAGTGGTGGCAACGAGAAGGCTCAGGAACACCCCCAAAACATCGAACGAAGACGTCCCTGTCCAAGACGGCGGCCCACCCGTCAGAAAGCTGCATCAGAAAGGGAATCCGGCCGTGGCCACGAGAAGCCACCCAGTGGCCCGAAGAGGGAAAGCAACGCCCCCAAATAACACACCCTCGATCCACCACTCTCGACAACGACGACGACGGCGGCCACGGCGACGACGACGACGGCGGCGGCGGCCAAAAACCCCCGAAACTGAAGCCGTCGATGTTTTCTCCGAAGTCCCCGCACATCGGGCACTTAGATTTGCTTGATGCGTGGGTCCCCGGATCTTGCGAACCCTTCCCCTAAGCTGGCTTCTCATGCCAGGATGTTTTCTGACCGCCCCGAGGCCCGAATCCCGCCCACAGAGGCCCAAACTGGGGACACACCGGGCGCACCGACTTTGTCAAGGCGCCTTATGAGTGAGTTGTCATCTGAACAAAACCCATTTAGAATCTATATCTAGCACGCTCCCGGGTACATCGTGGCCAAATGTTCGAGCTACGTCGAGCCGTGGATACGAGAACGCCCAGAAACGCCCGACAGACAAACGTGGAGGTCGAATTTGAAGTCGGGGTCGAAGCCGTCGCAACGTCGTCGTCGTCGTCGACTTCGTCAACGTCGGCGGCGGGCAGGCAGCATCGACGACCACGACGTAGATGACGGCCATGACGGTGTCGTCGTTGTGGACGTCGTCGTCGACCCTGACAACCGCCGATGTGTTTTTTCAATTCGCGGCCCCAAAGGTCCCGACAACTTCCCCGAGGCTAATTTTCCGTCCAGGTTCCACTTCTGATGATCACGGGGCCCGATGACGGATAACGGCCCCCGAGGACCGAAACCAAGGAAACACGCCCAGATTGAAACATGAGATCGTGAGAAATCTCATCTGGGAACTGGGAACATATGGAAGTGGCGGGGAAGACGAACATCCAGAACATGTGGAAAACGAGGGGGCGTCCTGGAAGGTGTGTGCGTATGTGTGTACACCCTGCCAATGCTTTGTCGGGCCATGCTGGGTCAGCGTTTCAATTAATCCATCGGCTGGTCTGGAAGCTGTTTACACTTTTTGTTGTGCGTCATTGTCTAACACTGGCCTTCGGCGATTCAGTGGCCGCCAATTCTTACCAGACTGCTCGCGCTTCAATTTACTTCGAGCTGAGTAGCCTCCTCTACATTCTGGCCGCTGCACGGTTCGTATGGACTTACAGTTCCTCTTTCATATCACCCATTGTTGCACTCTTCAGTGCGTGACGTTTCTCACACTGTGACTTCGACGACGCTCGATCGCAATTAGTTATTCCATCTGCTGCCCGCGCTTCAGGACCCTCTGCGCCACCGAAATAAAAGTGTGCGTGTGTCATTATGTCATTATGGGCACATCTGGGAAATAGCGGGGACATATGGGAACTGGGAACTGGAAACACACGGGAAGTAGCGGGGGAGGCGAACATCCAGAACACGTGGAACACGAGCGGGCATCCTAGGTGTGTGTGTGTGTGTGTGTGCGTGTGTGTGTGTGTGGTCGCGTGCGTGTGTGTGTGTGTGGTCGCGTGCGTGTGTGTGTGTGTGTGTGTGTGTGTGTACATGCGTGTGTGTGTGTGTGCGTGTGTGCGTGTCTGTGTGTGTGCGTGTGTGTGCGTGTGTGCGTGTCTGTGTGTGCTGCTTCCGCCTCCAGCTCGCGCTGGGCCTTCTGCCTCCCCCCCTGGGCGCGTGCCCGGCAGCCTTCTGGCTCCCTACCCCCCCGCTGCTGCCCTGCTGCCGCTGCTGGCCCCCGGCCCCGGCGCCCGCCTTGCCGCCGCCTGGCCCTGCTCTGAGCGGGCCCCGCTTCCGTCTCACTCCCGCCCGCGCCGGGGTCCTTTTGTCTTCCCCCACGCATCGCGGCTTAATTCGCGTTTCGCATGTCCCAGTATATGCTACTACATCGCCAGAGCAGTCCTTCTGCCTAGCCGCCGACAGAGAAAGTGTGTGTGTGTGTGTGTGTCTCTTTGTTTCTGCCTCGCTGTGCCCACTCTAGAAGCGACGTCGCAGCTCCGGGAGGTCCCCCCTGGCTTTCCCTAGCAGGCCGCCCCCCTCCCGATCGTCAACGTCGTCGTCGTCGCTGCCGCCTTCGACGTCGTCGGCGCCGTCGTCGGCGGAGAGCGGCAGGCAGTATCGATGTCCACGACGTCGAAGACCACGACGACGACCTCCATGACGCCGCCGTCGACGCCGTTGCCGTCGACGCCGTCGTCGCCGTCGACAGCGCCGTCGACAGCGCCCTTCGGCGTCGTCGACGCCGTTGACGACGACGTCGTCTCGTCGACGTCGTCGACGTCGGCGACGCCGTCGGCTGCAGACACCGGCCGGCGGCCGGCGGCGGCGGTCAGCGGCGGGGGCGGCCGGCGGCCGGCGGCGGCGGCCGGCGGCGGGCCGCTCGTGCTCGGCGCGGAGGTCGCGCAGGAGCTCGTCGAAACGGCCGGGGCTCCCGTCGCCGGCCTGCGCGGGTGTCTGCTTCGACTTTTTGTTCCTCGCCGGCCCCCGCTGCTCCCCGTCGCGCTGTCGCCGCGTCCCCGCTGCTCCCCTCGCGGCAGCCCCCGCCGCGAGGGGTGCGGTAAGTCCCCCGTGGTCGGGAGCTGCAACAGAGTCCGATGCAAGGATTTCGTTTCGCACGAAGGGAAGCGGCGCTGCTGCCCTTGATCTATCTTTCCGTTCTTGAGGTGCTCGAGCTGTCCGTTGCACGAAGGCGGCCATGTGCAACGAGCCCTTTCGGCAACCTCCGATATGGGCGGATCCAGTATCCCCATGCCGCGTGACCTGGGCAAGCTGCGCGCGTCTCTTCGCTGAACTTTATACGCCGCGCCGCTGCACGCGTGGCCGCGACGCCAGAACAAATAAGGTTGTCCGCCAACCCCCCTGGGGCGATGTCAAGGTGTGCCATCACTACTGGGATCGGCGCAGGGGGGTTGCTCAGGGGACAGCGGACAGGGAGTCATTAGTGGATGCCAAGATGGGTCGCGTCTGGCCTAACCTTGAGTGTAAGTCGGTTGCAAGTGCCCCAAGTGTCTTCGGGGGGGTTAACGATCCAGACAAAGTGGGCTCCGCCAGATCAGCGGAGTTACCACCCCCTCCCCGAAGCCACTTGTGGCATTTGTAACCTGTATATATATATATATGTATAGATATTCGGGGAGACGTAAGACTCGGGTACGGGGGACTGGGGTTGGCCTGACGGGGGCCATCATGAAGATGACGAGGCACAATCTGAAATTTGACGCGAACTCCGGCTGCAGACATCCCACGAAAACTGGACCGTCAAAATCCAGGGCGCGCTCGTCAACAAAGACGTCGGCAAACCCGAGTTCCGGCTTACTCGAGTCTTGCGTTTCCCCGAAATATATATATATATATATATATATATATATATATATGCTTCTCTCACCTGTTTTTGTGCACTCCGCCAGGGAGCTTGTCAGGCCAGGACCTCTGGGGGCTACTCAGGGGTCATTCCAGGAGTTGGGAGAGGTCCCGTCCCTTCAGCGGCATCCAAGGGCCTCCCAACCCGCCTGGCACAGCCGTGGCGCTTAAGCACCCGCGCTGCGTCCCAGACGCGCTGACACACTTGCACCGCCGGGAGGTTAAACGTCACCAACCCCTGAACCCCCTAGCTCTCTCGTCCTGGCAAATACTCGCGCGGAGGCAGGCACGGCCACGCGCGAGACGGTAGCAATGCTGCCCCCTGTCTGTGGGTGGGCCAACACAGCTACGGCAGATGGATGAAACTCAACCGTTATCCATCAACGGCGTCGCGCACGCTCAGGTGGACTCCGCATAGGTTTCCTTGGAAGGTTCATATATGCTTCTCTCACCTGTTTTTGTGCACTCCGCCAGGGAGCTTGTCAGGCCAGGACCTCTGGGGGCTACTCAGGGGTCATTCCAGGAGTTGGGAGAGGTCCCGTCCCTTCAGCGGCATCCAAGGGCCTCCCAACCCGCCTGGCACAGCCGTGGCGCTTAAGCACCCGCGCTGCGTCCCAGACGCGCTGACACACTTGCACCGCCGGGAGGTTAAACGTCACCAACCCCTGAACCCCCTAGCTCTCTCCACGGTCCCTACTCTGGCAAAAGCCGCTCCCTTTGCTCTTACTTATGCCCCCCACCTCGTTGTAATGAAATGAGGGAAGAAAGGTGGAGGATGGGCGGGACAGACAGACAGGCAGTACAAAGCAAGAAAAGTTCATCTCGCTTCTGCTCGCAGGCGGGACGCGAGCAGGCCGCAGCGCTTCCGCTGCGCGGGCGAGAGATTTAATTGAGTGGCCTCGGCGACGGCATCCTGGACATACAAGCGGGCCGTGCGCGCCGAGGCCCATCTGCCTCGGAGCAGCGTCTGCTCCATGGAGCCATGGCTGCGGAAGTCGGCGGAGGCGCCGCCCCTCCGCCAGCTGTAGAGGGTGAGCTTAGCATCCTGCAGTTCCAGCAGCTCACGCACTCGGCTGAAAGTGTTCATGAAACTGTTTGGCTCCATTCCGAGGCACAAGTCCTGTCCGTGCGCCTGAGCCTTTGCTCTAGCAAGGAGGGCGACCGCTACGCCACTCCGCACGAGCACGAACTCTCGGGCACCAGTCTGATGCTGGCTCTTGGCGTTGCGCAGCTGCAGCACGGCCATACGTCGGAGTGGGTACAGCTGTACATCGGACCACACGAGCGAGGTCATCTCACCCGTCCGGAGGAAAGCATCGTAGCCCGCAGCCAGCACCGCCGCAGCACCGAGCTGGCCTACGGCTGCAAATGCACCAGCGAATGCTGCCGCGATCAGCGGACCAATCGGCAGCGCCCGCCCAGCTGGCTCCAGTCGTTGCCACGTCTTGGCCAAGCGCCAGCTGTCCCGCAGGTGCCCTCGCACGGGCGGGAAAGCGTGCGTGATGCCAGCAATAGCATTATTAACTTCGAACAAAGATCCTCCGCTCAGCCAGCGGCTCTCAATGAAGGCGGCCACGCCAGCGTCGACCTGAGCGGGCGTCTGCGGCTGCCGGTGCTCCTGGATCCAGAAATCAACGACTTCATCGACTGCCGCACGGTACCGCTGCAGGGTGAGTGGCGTGACCATCGCCTCCCTCAGCGGTTGGGATCTCGCTGCAGCTCGTCGCGCCATCGCCTGAGCTGTGACCCGGCTCACCTTTGCCGCTGCTTGTGCTGCACGCTTGCTGGGGGCGGCCCTCCTGGCCCTTGCCGGCGGCCGCGCTGGGAGCGAGGCAGCGGCGGCCGAAGCTCCAGCGGGACGGCGTGTCGGCGGGCATGTCGTCGGTGTCGCAGTAGCCGTACAGCGGGTACCCTGCCGTCGCGAGGAGGAGGGCGTTGAGACGGCGGAGCGCGGGCTGCAAAGCCCTCGCGCTCGATCTGCCCTTGGTGCTGACTGCCGCGATCGCTTGGGCATCCAGTATGTGCAGGTAGCGGCAGCGGTGGTTCTCAACCGCTCGGCACCTCCAGCGCGCTCCAGCCACTGCAGCCTCCAGCTCCAGCGCCGAGATGTGCCCGGGCCGCTGCCAGCGAAACCCTTTGGCGATCCGCCAGGCCCAGAGGTGCGTACGGAGAGCTGCCCGCGGCCACGCGCGGGCTCGGTAGGGTGCCCCGGTGTCAAGCCGGACGTCCGTGCCCCCGCGGTCCGCGACCCTCAGGAACTCCACGATCAGGCTGCGTTCCAACCGCGGGTCGCGATGTCCCGGCTGCTGGAAGTCGGGAACCACGTTCCAGTTCGCCTCGCACGTGCCCACAGCGAGGCAGCTGCTGCCCGGGATGGCGGCCGCTAGCGCCCCCACCTGAGCGAGCCACGAGCCGAGAAGATACATGACAGCCTGGACGCAGAACGTATTCCCGATCAGAGACTCAATGACGCTGTCACGCTCGGCGGCAGGTGCACTATCTTTTACAGCGGCCTGGAAATAGAGACGGTCGAACCCCATCAGGGCAGCGCGCTCCTCAGGCACGGGCAGCCGGCCCCGCTCACGCCTTGCATCCCAGATGAGGCTGCCGTCCTCGTAGTTGTTGACCTGGTAACGGTAGCTGTCGGCAGCCCAGCGCTCTGCAGCCCTCACCGAGGCGCGGTCGAGGCCCACGGGCCGAAACGGCGGGTGACTCCGCGGGATCGGCCTCGTGAAACAAGGGAGGTCTGCCTCAGGGTCCAGCGCCGACCAGCCCTCCAGGAGCGAGGCACTCAGTGGGAGCCTCTCCACCGCAAGCGAGACCTTGAAGTACGTGGCTTCACCCACACCCTTGGTCTCGACGGTGGCGTCGGACGCCAAGAACGCCGTAACGGGCCACGAGCACCAGTACAGGCGGGGCCGCCTGACGTGAGTGAGACACCTGGCATCGAGGAACACGGGTGTGACGCCAAGCGCCCTGGTGAACTCCGCCCTCGACTCTAAGGTCATGCTGAACACGTTCTCGACGAACCACATGGTGCGCTTGGGAAAGGCAGCCTCTGCTGCCTGGATCAGCTCGGGGACCCGGAAGAAGAGCCTCGACCTCGACCCCTCCAGGCCGGTCCCCACGACATTGATGCTCGCCAGGTCTTGGCACGGGCTCCCCGCGGTCAGGACGACCCAGTCGGCGTCCCGCGCGTAGCCCTTCAGCATCTCAGTAAACCGCGCCGTGTCGACGGCCTCGATGTTGCCAAGCTCGATCACGCCCGCCCAGCGGCGACGCACCAGTCGCCGGGCGGCGGGCTCGACCTCGCAGCTGACATGGGCCATCACGTCGATCGGGAGTCTGGAGGCCGCCACCGCGGCCCCCGCGGCGCCAGCGAAGAGCTCGATGAGAACTATGCGAGGGCGCCACCGCACACCCCGCACAGGGGCCGCAACTGCACCAGGCCGCAACGTCACAGCCGAAGCTCCCCCTCTCGCGCACGCAACGCCCTGCGCCGAGAGCCCGGCCGTGTGGCAGATGCCCCCGGCGCGCTCGCTGGCATCGGTCGCTATGACACAAGTGTCGATCTTCGCGCGCAGGTCAGTGTAGGCCAGCGGCAGCGCCATCGCGAAGCCCAAGAGCTCGTCGCACATGCCAAGGGGAACAGTCTGCGGACGCGTCCAGCGTCCAGCAGCCCACACGCTGTTGAGGAATCCCATGAAAGGCCTCCTGAACTCCGCTGCCCTGGCGCACCTGCCTAGGATCATGAGCATGCCCTGTGACGAGAGGCCCTGCCTGCCCATGCCCCACAGGATGAACGCCAGCAGCTGGTGCAGCTTCTCGGTCGTGACTCCGACCCGGCCGACGGCCCCGTCAAGACCCGCGCCCATCCGCTCCAGGACCAGCGCGCGGTGCTTGGCCTTGCCGGGGGCGACGCTGATCCCCGAGCGGCCGTAGGCGGCCCTCTGCTCCTCCTGCGCGCAGCTCATCGTGCCGAGGAGCTCCGCGACCATCGCGTTGGGCACCACCTCGCCATGGTCCCAGTCGTCGATGTAGTACTGGATCCACTGCTGCTCGAGCTCCTTCGACTTGAACGG